CCCCCCCCCCCCCCCTGCAAAAAAAAAAAAAAAAAGGTTCATAATAGCGATTAAACGCGTTTTGAAAGCAGGAACATTTATTTTACTGGACTGGACACGATTGAATAAAAGTCACTACAATTTTTTCAATTGTTAATAGAGTAGTTTATGTTTGATACGTAATATTGAACATGACTCGACAACATAATGGATATAATTCAACTTATTTTCTTCATTAGTATTGTACAATACTTTCTAATTCTTTTTGCTAAACACTTTGTGAATGCATTAATAAATGTGAGCAGATATTGTTGAACTGGAGTTAAAGAAGTCTTCTGGATTTTGTTTACATGCAAGGAATGTGAATTACAAGCCAGGACAGCTAAAAGTAAAAGTTTAGCAAGAAAAGCCAGTTTAATTTAGGTGGAACCGATGCCAATTCTTTGAACAATTCTTTTGGGTGCTTATAGCTTTTGCAACAAGATGTCCCAATTTATGAATAAATAACATGGTCAAATTGATCAAGTGTCACAAGATGATTATTTATTTATTTTTTATGAGGTTTGCTCAATTCATGACAATTGTATAAAGGAATTGGGTAATTAAAGCTTATGCTGAAATTTGAGTGGAGAAGTTTCATTGGGTCAGTTATGCTAAAAGCGAGAGAAATCATGGGCAATTGTTTAACAAAAACAAGGGTTTTCTCAATGTTGTAAAATTAAGTATTGGTGGTGATGCTTTGCTCAATCATATCTAGTTTTTAGAGTTTGTACTGACGGCAATTTTGAACTATTGATATACATAATTGGATTCATTTTGTTACGACGAATAAACGAATTTATGCTTTTACGTTAGTCCAGTTATTGAATTAACATTCTTTAACTTTTCAAAGAAAAAGAGAGAAAAAATACTATGACATGATAGTTGATGTTTTATATTTAGTTCAAATTTATTTATGTCTTGTAAACATTTATGTCGTTTTTTTTATCTCTATGTGAGAGAGTTTATTTTATCAAACAAGCACCGGCTTAACATAAAAAGTACAATGATCCATTTGAAATTGTGACATCAATTCATGTTTTATGTGGGATAAAACTAAAGAAGAAAAAAGTTAAAATCTTATTCATTATAATATCTAATATTGTCCAATTATATGTACCAAATGTGCACTACAATTTTCACCCCGAACAATCAACAACCTATGTTAAAAAACACAATATAGAAAAAGATGAAATACAACTGGTACAAAGACCCCAAAGAATATTTAAAAAATAAAAAATTGTAAAGATAATCAGTGCACCTTTTACCCATTAAATTAACAAAATTGGTAGATATTACATGAATAATAAATGAATATCAAGAATTTGTTTTTTCTTTTATTTGGATTACACAAATAATCGTGACAAGATCTTGTTCTAGAAAAAAAAGTCCCTTTTTCTATATTCTCTTTAGTTCGAATTATACATTTGAAAATGCCAGTAGATCATAAGATGTAGCCATTTCAACCAATTAGGCCCTCAAGCACACACTATAAATTCTTCTTCTAATAAGCAAATCTTCATATTCTGTCTTTCTAGTACCAATACTAAGAATTCTTAGTACCTTAAACCATGAAAATCTCATACTTCTTTGCCACTTTTGTCGTCGTTTTGTGTCGTCTCAGCGCAATAAATTCGCAGTCTCTTGTTCCTGCACTCTTCATATTTGGAGACTCAATTGTTGACGTGGGGAACAACAACAATCTTGAAACAGTTGTTAAAGCAAATTTCCCACCCTATGGAAGAGACTTTGTCAATCACAAGCCAACTGGGAGATTCTGTAATGGAAAACTTGCTTCAGACTTCACTGGTACTAAATTTTCTTCTCTCAACTACTCTTCCTAATCGGTCTCCCCCTCTTGGCTCTTCTAGTTTAAAAGTTTGAGCTGTCCACCTCTCGACTCTTTTAGTATAAAAGTTTAAGCTGTTAGAGAAGAGACGAGTCATTTATTTAAATTATGTCTTCTGCAAGTCCCATTATAGGCCGTATTCATATAGAGAAGTGAATTTGACTTGCTTGCTTAATTAAGTGCAAGTCAATACTTATTTTCATCAATACTCAATATTTCATAAGTAGGTGGTTGTGAGATTAGAATTCAAAACTTTTGTCTTCTCCGACACCATATGTAAAAACTCTTAGAGAATACACAACTTTATTTATTTGAAGGATGTCTTTAACGCCTCTCTGTAGTTTCTTATGAATATAACTTGTTTAGTTTCTTCAAATGTGCAGCTGAAAATCTTGGATTTACTTCATACCCACCAGCTTATCTCAGCAAGAATGCTACAGGAAAAAACCTGCTAATTGGAGCTAACTTCGCTTCTGCTTCCTCTGGTTATTATGATGCCACAGCAAAAATCTATGTAAGAACAATTCTAAATGCATTATGTAAAGTTCTTCGTAGTATAACACAGTTTAGACGATCTTCTATATCAAACCCCCTCGTTTAAAACGTTAAATTGGTGGAGAGGATTTGTCCCATTACATGCAAGCCCAGTTTATTTTTCTATCAAAAGTTCCAGTGCGTATATGGTATGCAGAACTGGACAGAACTAATCAGTATAATGGAGGTTTTAGCTCTTTCTTCTTTAATACTGATTAGTCATATCCGATCCTTCGTAGAAAACATGCCATAAGTTGTAAGGGAAGTAAGTACTTATTTATATATGTCATTGACATTCTAAAATGGGATTTTTTTCTTTTGTAGAATACAATTCCGTTGACCAAGCAACTAGAATTCTACAAGGATTATCAGAAGAAACTGGTAGAAATTGCAGGGAAATCCAATGCTTCATCAATAATTTCTGGTTCAGTATACCTAATTAGTTCTGGAAGCAGTGATTTTGTTCAGAATTACTACATTAATCCTCTTCTCTACGAAGTCTACACAACTGATCAGTTCTCAGATATTCTCCTGCAATCCTACACAAAATTCGTACAGGTAACATCTGCAAAACAAATTAGATAGGACCTCAAAATAACTGGCTCCAATGATGCCACTCCCAAAAAATCCTTTATGTGAAGAGAAATATTAGTAGAACTATAGAATGCCTAATATACTCCTAGACCCAAAGTACACCTACCAATAAGTTCGTGATATAACGAGAAAACCGTTTTTTGACAGGAATTGTATAAGTTGGGAGCAAGGAAGATTGGAGTGACAACATTGCCACCACTTGGATGTGTACCAGCAGTGATTACAATATTTGGAAAGGACAGCAATGACTGTGTGGAAAAAGTAAACAAAGCAGCAATTTCATTCAACAATAAACTGAATGCAACATCCCAGAGTTTGCAAAGCAAGCTTTCTGGTCTTAATCTTGTTGTTTTGGACATCTACCAACCTCTTTATGACCTGGTTACAAAGCCTAGTGACAATGGTAATCTTTCTAATCCTTCACTAAAAATCAAATATAGAATTTATGATGAAATATAATCACAGACACTCCTACTAGGTCGACGGATTTGAGTCCAATGCTTAAGGTGTCATGGAAAACATCAACTCTCCTCTGGACACTCCATGATATGAGTTCGACAAGCGACGTGTTATTAAGGGTTAAATCTCAAATCGAATAAAGAATAAAATATAAACCAATAAACAATGATATTGGTTATTCAAGAGAGAACTCTAAATCTTAGTACATGCCCATGTCCTATTTCTTATATATGTTTTTCAAATTTCTAGTTCTCGAAGAATAGTTTAGGGACATTTCTAGGGCAAATATTTGCCATGAAAACTGCAATGGCGGATCCAGAAACTTACACATCTATTTCTTCTATAAAAAAAATTCAAAATTCCTAGATAGGTTTAAAGAAAATCTCAAATGTTGCAGAAGTGGTCGCCAACCTTCATCCCGTCACTAGTGTCAATTACAAAAAATATATATATATATATAAATAAAGATATAATATTAACTTCAAAATTTTAAAACATTTAAATCGATTTGTCAGTGTCCATGTCCTAGTTTTGAAAAGAATCACGCTGTGGCTATGTCAAGGTCATATCTTGTCATGTTCGTGTTAGTACAACTTAGCATTTTATGAAAACCACAATTGTAAATGCAGGATTTTTCGAATCGAGAAAGGCATGTTGTGGCACCGGATTGGTGGAGACATCTATATTATGCAATGCAAAGTCCCCGGGAACCTGTAAAAATGCAACGGAGTATGTGTTTTGGGATGGATTTCATCCTTCAGAGGCTGCAAATAAAATTATTTCTGATGACTTGCTTGCTGCTGGCATTTCCCTCATCTCCTAAAGATTTTTTAAACATTTAATTTGCTTTTGACGTTCATTCCTTTAAAGTTTCGTCTTAAATTTGACATTTTCCAGTCGTGAGTGATTATAGTAAATGTGATGTCGATTGTGATAAAATTTATACTTTTGCAGTATTGATTTTTATAAAGAATGGTTTCATTTTTAAATTATTTAATATGAGATTACCAGAAATACCTATTATGCATACTGCATTATCGAAGAAAATGGACAGAGTATGTCTTCAAAGACTAATTGTACGCCTAAATTCATAAATCGAAAATGATGCTGCCAAATAAAATTTTGAAAAAAAAAAAAAAAAGGATTAAGGATGAGGATGTAACAATGGATATAGGTTGGGGACGAATGACAATTTCTCCCAATTCACTTTGATTAATTTCATTTAAGTTTATCACATCGCAAAATAGCTACATACACTTAAAGCAAGAAAATTTAACCAAAAAAATTTAGAACTCCAAAGTTTATGAACTAGTTGCAATTTCTTAATTAAAAATTAGGCACACATCCACTTTGCTATTTCTCTTCGAATAAATGACCAACTTCGCACCAAAACTAGGGATGACAAAAAAAAAACCTACCACATCTCGGGGCGGGGATTACCCATTTATCGGGTAATCTGGTTAGGAACGGCGGGGGGAATTCTGCTTGGGAAGGGTACGGGTAACAAGGCTCGCCCCACCCCGCCAGTTTAATTCTTTTTTTGTATTTAAGAATTTAATACTTTAAATAGAAAACTGTACGAAATTTCATTAATTCTAATAAAAGATGATAATTAAGATTATCTAAGGAATATGATAAACAATAAATACCTAAGTTTACCAAATATATTCGAATAATTTAAATTTAAAAAAAATTAATTAATTAAAATTTAATAACTATATTATTGTATCACTTTAATGAATGGGGATACTAAAATAAGTTATCAAAAACATAAAATCCCGAACATGCCCATTACCATCCCTAACAAGAACATATAAGTTAGGGATGTTTATGTTAATAAATAAACGTTAGGGGCCACTTACTTGTAGAAAAGGTTTGGGAATACTTGCACCAAAATTCCGTTATATTTTCTATTTTACTCTTTCCCTCCTCGATCTATTTTCCACCCGACTCATTATTGATTTCTCTTCTGCCGACGCTGCAGTTTGTAATCAATATTAATTGATAAGAGAAACAATTCTAATCGATCATCCGAAATTGCCCAAAAGTAAGTTCAATCATTCGATTTCACTCGTAATAACAGCTGAAATTTGAATTTATAGCCAAAGAGGGAAAGTTTTTGAGAAGAATTTCTTAAAATTATGGATTACAATTTAGAAGCGCTGAAATTGCTGTGCATCCAACTGAACGACGCTCGCAAAGCGACGTCGGAGCAAGCCTTCACTCTCGACGGCATTCTCATCCAACGCTCCTGGCTACAGGTATATATATGTATGTATCTGTATATTTATATGAATGTATATGTGTATGTGTATATATGTAATTTTCTATATGAATGTATACTTCCATTAATATATTGTTTCCCTCCTTTCCTTAAGTATATTTCCTCATTGAATTCATAGTTGGAAGCCTAATTGCAGGGCATTTTAGCCTCTAACTGTCGCCCTCCGACTCCTACTCCGGCGGATGCTTCCTCCTAGACGATGACACTGGTGTTACTGAGCTACTCCTCTCCGGCGACTTCGGTAGTCGCAATTGGAAAGCAGGTCTCTCTCTTTTTTTTCCTTGAAAATTCCAATCACTAGTTTATTTATTATGTGTTTGTGTGTGCAGGGATGTACGTGATCGACTGATGGTGATTGGAGTTTATTTTGTCCGTAGTGGTGATAGCTCCGTGTAAAGGTAAAATATCTATCCTTTTAAACATGGAATTTCTACATGAATTTGCAAATTTGGTTGTTGGCGTATAGTGATTATCCATTTGTGATGTTATATACGAGGTAAAGAATAGTATCGCGCTTGAAGATTTGGAAAAATGTTTGTTTTATGTTGGTCACTCGCCCTTCTTGTTAAACCTTCAACTTTTCCTTTCTGATCAATGAAATAGACAACTATTTATAATAGTTCCCCTTAGGATCATACTTGCATGTTGATCTTACTGGTAATACGATCCCTTAGGTTTCGATAGCATTTGACCTTTGATCAGGTAGAAGTGGTAGTAGGAAGAAGGCCCTCCTTCATTCCTGTGGAATTAGACGTGTCAGAATGTAACAGAGATTGGTACCAAAGAAAACAAGAGACTTGTTGAGATTAGCAAAAAGGCAGTCATGCAGACTTGTTGACGATCTCAAGATGAGGTTATTGACTATAGCATAGAAAGAATAGCAAAGCAAATATAAATAAGAAATCCACGAAAGGGACAGGGGTAAACCTGAAACTGCCAGGTCTTGATGAATCATAAGTTGGAACCCTGTGGGTGTCAATTGGAATGGTTATGGAGGATGGGGATGAAGAAATAGAAGGATATATGTCATCTTGCCTGAGGCCACTGTGTCCTAGGAAAATATCTAGCCAATTTCCCACATACAAAAGGATGGAAAATTTTTGGATTACACTATATGGGTTTAGGGTTTATCCAATAATCATAATTGAATCAGTTGCTCAAGAGAATTCAATTCAATTAGCTTGGAGATGATAATTTGGACACCATTTGGCTCTTCTAAGTCTTGTCATGTACCAATTTCTTTTATGTGGGAAACGTATTTTTATTTTGGTGTATTGGCTTGTCAAATTTTTTTTTAATTATTATTATTATTATTATTATTATTATTATTTTTTTTTTTTGTGAAAAAACTCAAAATCATTAACATATTGTGCCTTACAAAAATAAAAATAAAATAAAACAAAAAAAAATAGTAGATAAATAAAGAAAAAGTCATACAATACGACGTATGGTAAGTTACTAATCCTTACATGTATATCACGTCCTTTCTCTTATTGCCATGCTACAATTATCCCTAGGATAGAGAAAATTTGTCTGGGACGTACATTCTCCTTTTAGGCAAGTCACATTCCAAACTTCGATGGTCTTACTACACCCGGATTATATTTTGACTGGCTCGACACTCTTGAAAAATTCTTCAACTTTCACAACTTGAGTGACTTTCGTTGTCTTTGACATGATAATATGTCACTTGTCGAATCTTCTTTATTATTGAAAATCCGTCGACATTGAACTCCTAGGTCAAAGCCTTGGTTTCGATATATTATTTTGGGTAGCTGCCTAAAGCAATCATCTTTTGTCCTCATCTTTCATATGGTGAATTTTTTTCTCCTCCATCCGTGGTTTTTCCCATCTAGGGTTTTCATGAAAATCTGTATGTTCTTATTATTAATTTTTCGATTGCCTATTCTCGTTTCATGTAAGCTGATGTCGTCCAAATTTCAGGTTCACAAAATGGTTGATCTTTCTCCCTTTCCAGATGGGGGTCTGTGATACCTTGAAGTCACAGAGATCTTCAAAATGTTCTACCTGCTTATGTTCCAAGATTTACTGCTGGGGTGAGAGAACAAGGTTTCGAAGAAATTCATGCGTTCCATTGAATACGTTTCCCAGGAAGCAGTGAAGACTGCTAATTTATGCGAAGAAAAGGTTTAGAGGTGGTTAGTTTCCAACCATATGTCATCTCGTATCACACTCTTCAACTTGACCTGATCATGTAGTTTCAAATGATTTTATGTGCAATCATATCTATCTTATTAATTGCAATTTCTTGAAGCCTTCAAGCAAGGCATGAAAAAAATAATTGGATGATCCCTAATTATAATTGAAAATTACAAAAGTTGGCATGTTGGCGTATCAATTGTAAGCAATCCTCAAACCATTTGACACGCTGGTGGAAGCCATCAATTCATGACATTCCTAAGAATAATTTTTAGCCTCTAAGATCAACGGTAAAGTGGCCGAAGCCACTGTTATTAAACACATGTAAAGAGTCATTCACCATACATATTTTGCCTTGAGGTAAATATTTAGTTTCAATAGATAGCTAGAAGCATAGGGAGTGATGAAGTGCACAAGGGATTATAGTTCATGGCAAAATGGGACCATCACAAGGCAAAAGTTGGCAAAAGGGGCAAATGATTTCATGATGACTTTGAGTTTGCTCGTTTTTGGCAAATCACTAGTCTAGTTTGATTGGAGCCGAGCCAAGGAATAAAACTCAGGGCCTTTGGCCCTGATGCAAGACCAATTTCGGGCAAAATCGATCGTTTAGGTCCTCGTTTAATCGTTTTTGCTATTTATGGTAATTTTCATTTTTGCAATATCTCTTTCCATGAAATTCGGATTTAGATTCCGTTTGTTGGAGGATGATCCCGAAGATAAGTATTTTCCATTTTAGTAATTATCTCATATTTTCCATTTTTGGAAAAAAATATCTTTTATTTATTTATTTTATTTTCCGGATTTTTCTAGGTTTTTTCTATTTAATCAGTTGTAAGCCCTTAGAGGCAGTAGTTCTTGAATTCAATAAAATCTTCCTTGAGAGTTTTCTCAATTTGTGATTGTTCATCTTCCTTACAATATTTTCGCTACGTCAGTTGGTATCAGAGCCGAAATCGTTCCTTCACCATGCCGCCAAGGAGACGTCCTGAAGCCCGTAATGCCCCGGTAGAGGAGGTACATAGACGTGATGAAGTCGCACAGCTACGTCAACAAGTGGAATTGTTGACACGGCAGATCACTGCGCTTATGCCGCAGCAGCCTGCGCCTACAGGCCAACAGCTTGAGGATTCCGATGATGAGAATTCGTTTGCACCGCTTGAACAACCATTGGATCTGCTAGTTCACCGGAGAAGGGGTGGTCAGGAGGACAACCGACGTTGGGAATCAGGATTTAAGGTGGATATTCCAGAATTTCATGGTGGGTTGAGTCCAGAGGAATTTTTGGATTGGGTGACTGCAGTGGAGGAGGTCTTGGAGTTTAAAGACGTTCCTGCCGATAAATGTGTGCCTCTCGTTGCAACGAGGCTTCGTGGGCAAACAGCGGCGTGGTGGCAGCAGACTAAGGTGACAAGATCCAGGCTGGGGAAACCTAAGCTTGCATCGTGGGACAAATTGAAGAAACATATGAAGAAACAATTTCTGCCTTACAATTATGTGCGGACCATGTACCAACAATTGCAGAATCTGCGTCAAGGTGGGAAAACGGTTAGTGACTATACCACGGATTTTTATATGTTGATTACGAGGAACGAGATGATGGAGACGGAGGAGCAGTTGGTGTCACGGTACGTGGGTGGTCTTCGTCCCCAAATACAGGATACTCTCAACATGTTTGATCCTGTGACAGTTTCTGATGCACATCAGAGGGCAATACAGATAGAAAAGCAACAGTCCAGGAAAACTACTAGTCCTTTCATTGCAGGGAGTTCTTCTAGTAACCCACAACAGCAGGTGGCACGTCCTGGCAATCCTGCCCAATCTGGTCCTCCTAGAACAAATCCTGCCCAACAACCAACACGTCCTGGGGCTGGTATTCGTTGTTTCGGATGTGGAGTTATAGGCCACAGGTAGTCTGAGTGCCCAAAGAATCCGCGCAGGGGACTCTTTGTTGATGAGG